AGTGTTGAGGAGAACACAGTTATCTCATGTTTAATATATTTTTTTCTTCTACATTACACATATCCTTCCAACAAATTTTTGCCTGTACAGGTTTTACAGCAACACACCTTTAAAATGCAATTTTGTACAATCTATTCTATGAAGTCAATCTGCACTGATTAGAATTTTTTGAACCATAGTTGAACTTTAGATGAAATGCAATAATGACTGTGCTTTTGCAGTACTCTGATGAAAGCTTTACTGAAACAAATGGACTTCTTTTCTTTGTTTTAAATAGATTTTTAGGCTTGGAAGTAATTTACTTCATTAGGGAAGGCTGCCTTAGCCTAGGGAAAATTATAATGAAAGAGATGTAAGAAGTTGTCATGTTAAAGTTGCATGTTTGTTTATTGGGGGAGGGGCCCAAGCCCTGTTCTGAAGAAAGAAGTAAAAAGTAACCAGACATCACTAAAGCCACAGTGAGTTCAATTTATGCACAGACATCTGGCCAGTAGCTGCTTTGGTGAAGGTGCTGTATAGGATTGGAGTTGTGTCCCTACTGACAGTATGTATTGAGGAGCTATTGGGTACAACTGAGAGCCATTTAAATGCAAATTTACTGTGAGTTTGTCATTGACTAAAAACAATCTTCCAGGCAATGGCATTAATAATTAGAAACCATCTGGTACTATGAAAGCTTACGATACTTTCAGTATTTCCACAGGCCAAAAGGATGTAATTTATCTCCTACTAAAATAGAAACACCTATGCTATATGTTAGTGCTCTGACAATTAACATGCAAAATCAGATCCACCTTGATGTTTTTCCTCTGGGCCAGTCCTGGAAAATAAATAAATAGAAGTCTGGAAAAGAGAGTGCCATAGACTTCACAAAGGAAATTTAAGGAGAACGCACAGACAGAGATGAATACCTGAAAAGATGAAAGGAGGTGTGTTGAAAATGTTGCCTCCTTTTTACCTGATAAAGTTATGAGTGACATAAAGTGAGTTGATAACTGCTGTCAGATCGCCTTAAAAAATTATGATCTGAATTTTCAATGTTTGGTATGTAGAATTGGATTAAAAATAAATTAATGAATGTAAACAGTTTCTCTTTTCTGGCCCTTAGAAGTTTGGGGCTTGGAATTTTCACGCTGTAGAGACCAAAATAAAAATGTTCTAGTCTGTCCCTCAAAACTTAAAGTGCCCTTCATCATCTTTTTTTTCAAGCTAATATTCCCTAAAGAATGTATGGGCAGGTTATTCTCCATTAAAAATAATTCATAATATCACACTTTCAGTCTTCATTTGAGAGATCAAGTGAATACTGAAAAAAGATAATTTTAAATTTAAATTGGTAATTACAGTAATTGTCTTCTTCAACACCATGTTCACATGGCATTTACAATTGTCAACTTCACTTGGTAGCTTGCATGAGTTGAAAACTATACAAAATTCAGCTTCAAAGTTTATTAGGGATAACCAGTTATTAAGGATATGGAAGACAGCAAAAATTAAGATATTTCATTTTGAGAATAGCAAGAGAAATAGCTATTTCAATAGCTAGAGAAATAACAGGAGACACCCACTGTAAGAACAAAAAATTGCAGTTTTTATAAACAATGAAACTGTTGAAACATCCCAGTGTGCGGCTATCAAAGAAAAGAGGTGGTGGTTTATCCTCTGTACTTCTGATCTGAATAATGCCAGTTTCCAGGCTGAACAGTCGACATCTGCAGACCACCTTAGAGCCTGTGTTTCTTAGACTAGAGTTCTTAGTTTGTTCCTAAACCTTATTCTTACATGCACCAATGTCATATCTGTATTTCCTGTTCTTATAATTAATGGAATATTTTCTTTCAAAAACTTCTCTCAGAAATAAGATATGCCAGAAATAATGAAACTGAATGACCAAAAGAGTGAGTAGCAAATGTATTGAATGTGTGTGAAGAGAGTTTAGGTGTCTGTATGTTTGTGTCTGTGTGTAGCAGATTTCCACATCTCAGTTCAGGAGCAGTATTTTTCTTTTGTGTAGGTGAGTATGGCAATTGAGACTTTCTTTCAAGTTCCCAAGACACAGGGCTTCCTGTGTGCTATTGTACTTTGAAATATATAAGCTCTGAGCAATGAAACTGATTTCCTAGGACAAATCAATTTGAGACTCTCAGCTGTGAATCAAAATATTTTTTCTGTTTCTGGGTATAAATTGTTAGATTAAGAGGTCTTGATATTCTTTTTCTTCTAACATGCACTGCCCCTATACAAAATCAAAATTTTCTCTCCCTGGTATTTATAAAAAATGTCGCTAGACATTAATGGGTTGTTTTATACCCTTACTTCAACCATTACACGACGTATAAAAAAATCAAAACCATTTGCCAACAACAATGCTTCATTCAATATCCCTTTATATAATAGCTGCCTAAGTATCTAATTTTCATATGAGAATCCATTTGTTGTCTTTTTTGTGCATGAAAGGAAATATTTTCCTGTGTGCTTGTGACTTTCAGTAACAAATAAACTTTAACCAATGAGACAAACCTACATAAATATTCACTTCACTATAATTTTCAGTTCATTTTCTGTTCCACCTTCTCCATCAGTATGGTTTTTTAATGTTTAACCATTTCACCTCTCTTCTCAGCTAATGCATACACGTTACTTTGAAAAGAGAAACTAGCAATAAGGTATTCCAGATATGTTTGAAACAGTGATAATTTCATAGATAACTACAGAGCTAACATCACTTCAAAGATTCTTAGATTCTTAAGAGTGCAAGTCTTAGGTGGTCTGTAGATAATACAAATTTCCAGAGATAAAACATAATTTTCTACAGAACACTGTCTGAACCAGGATAATATGCAATTTGCCACACCACAGCGACATACTTGAATGGATTTTTGCATTTCATGTTTCTGTATTCTTTAAAAAAACTCAAAACCAAACCAGAAGTAAAGGAAAAAAGGGGATTTGTCTTCAGTAGACAACTGAAAAGGAAGTTTAGTGACAGCCCTGCAATTTGGTCACTTTGAATTTATGCTCTGTAAAGCACACATAGATTCTTTTTCGAGCTGTAGATACAACTCATCATCCATAAAGTCCTTATTTTACAACATCACTCACTCACAGAACGGAACCTCCAATTCCCCGTTCATATTTTTCTCATTACTTTTCTTCCTTGCCAAAGCTGTTGAGAGGTTTATAGTGTGTAACTATAAACTGGTTTTTAGTTTATTTTACTGAATTAAAATATATTAACAGAAATGACAGAAATAATTTACAGAGCTTAAAGGAAAACAATTCCAAAATATTTTGGCAGTATCATAGAATTTTTTCAAGAATATAAAGATGCATATTGTAAGCATTCTTGTGCAAGTTAGGAAAACAGATTAATTACAGAGAGAAATCTATAAATGGTTTTAATCAGTGTTATTGCTGAAGTCTAAGAACTAGCAATAAGAAAATAATACAATTAAGTGATTATATAAAAGAACAAGCTTAACATTTATTTAAAAAATTATCCAATATAAAAGCAAATTTCAAAAACCAGTGGCCCAAAGTCAACTTCAAAACTGTATCTATAATTTACATATAGAGATTTACAGTTTAACTGCATTATAATCTACAGTCATATCAATTGGATTCATAACTTTGGAAAATGTGATGGTGAACCTTTCCAGCGTTCAAATAGAATTTTTGACCTATACAGCATTTTAAATGGCAAAAAAGGGTCAAATAAGATCACATCAATCAAGGGAGATACAAACCATGACAAGAATCACCTGGCAAAGCATTGAACTTATTACAAGAAAACAAATTATATGTTGAAATAATGATCCCAATTATAATACATGCTTTCATCATAATGTTTCCCCAAAATTTGTGTAAGCCAACAAGATTAATGCATTTAATTTCTAATGGGAAAAGAAATTTGGATTAAATATATAAGCAAGAATTCTTGAGGAGTTTCACTGTACTATTATATCTGCCAAACAGATTTTTCAAGCAGGTCCATTTCCACTTAAGTTCTCTTTCAGTCAACCAAGAAACTCTACTCTTATGGAATTACTGTAAAAGATATAATTATCTCAGAAGCACCAACAGTCTGCCCCATATTATTTATTTATTAGTTTTGACAAAGGAAGAAAAAAAAAAGAAAAAAGCTAACAAAACATTACAAATAACTCTTTCAAAGGTGCCACAAAAAACAAAAATGTTCTTTCTCTCTATGCATGTCATTATACCATGGAAATGAGGAGCAAAATGGTCTGTTAAAAAATGTCAGTTTCTGTCAGAACTTTCTACAAGTACAAGGCAGCAATCACTTCAGAGTGTTGGCAAGAAAAGGAAAATATGAGCACCTTCACATAGGAGGAAAAGGAGAAGAATGTATCTAGGGTGTCTGAATTTAAGATGTCCTTGAACATCTGGCAAAAATCTTTCAAGCTCTTTCTTCTTCCCTTTGCAAATCACTTGCTTCAAAGTTGTGAAAATTACAATTGGCAGTGTCTAAGTCCTCTCTACTCTACAGGAAGGATTTCTTGAAGTCCAAAGGCTGTATCAACCACTTCACTGTTGAACCTCTAGATTTTGGTTGGTCCTGATCACAATGTTTTAACGTTCTCAGTTTGTGTCATGAGGATGGAGGAGAAAGCAAATTATGTGCTCAAAAATATACATGTATTTTTTTAGTTGTCATATTTGTTTCTTTCATAAAGATTATTGAGATAGAGGTAATTTTGGGACATAATTAATCAGATCAATATTGAGAAACTACAAGAGCATGACAAGATTTCTGCTACAAAAGTGTTATCTTTAGAGGAAATTTTGAGCATCTCAGACACAGAGACAGTCCTGAAGATGCCCAAGTCAGATATTATGTAAATAATCAAGACTATAAAGCCAAAACCCCTGAAGCCATTGCTTGCCTGTATGATCAGGAATTCATGATTCAGACACTTACATGACTTAATTAACTTTATTTGGAAAGTAACAATTTATTTTATGAACACAGGAATTCATGATTCAGACATTTACATGACTTAATTAACTTTATTTGGAAAGTACACAGGTTCAAGAGTTAGAGATTTAATTTTTTTTTCTAAAAAACCCACAACAACCATTACTAAACAAGAACTTTGCAAATTCCTTCTATTTGTTATTTTTAAATGAATCCTTTATTTGCCTTAAATTTTGTACCATATTGACATTCTTTATAGAAACTTGAAAATCATCATTTTCATAGACAAATTGATGATTTTGTGTTAGCATTATCATTACAGATTTTTTGACAGAAAGTAATGTCTCTATTGACATTTTTGTTTTTACTTTTGAACATCAGGAATTCACATACTAGAACTCTGAGAGTTTTAAACTTAAATAATCCCCTTTCCCTTGGAAACTAAGAAACATTCAGAAATGTACCAGCTTTGTTTCTCGTAATTTAACAATTTATTTTATGAACATAAATCCCTACTTCCTGGATGAAAAATTCTGAATGTGACCAGCAACGCTTAGAATTTGAAGGGTTTTCTTTGCTTTTAAGATACACTGGGAGCTCCCCATGAGCAGTGAGCCACACACACAGCCATAGTCACGGGTGAAAAATGAGTATTATTGTCTTCAGTATCTTCTAAGATCTCAGGAAAGGATGCCACTTGCTTACAGCAGATTTTGCTGAGTTTATTCATTTTAGGTAGTAAAGGCCTGATCCAAACCCCGATGAAGTCAATGGAAAAAGTCTCCCATTGACTACAATGGGCTCTGGATCATGCCCTAAGTCCATTCTCTTCATTAATCCAGGATTAATAATAGGATGTCTTTCCAGTAGCCTGGAGTACCTAAGATCCCAGGAATTTCAGCTGAACAAGTCCACTTTAGATTGTCATTCCATTTGGAATTTGAAATATGAAGTCACGATCTTTTTCAGTGAGAAGAATACTTTAAATGGAGGCATTTTCAGCTCCTGGTTATAGTCAATCCCACCAGTTCAGTGAAAATCCTTGGGCATCCTAATGAGAAAACAGCAAGAGCAAATGCAGCCATAGAAATTTATCTTGTTCGGGGCACACTTCAGAAATACACTGTAGACTTTGGTTTGACCAATGAATAGATGCATGTGAATGTTTTTGGAGAGATCAGTGTGGAGCCTGACTACAAAGAACAAATTAAAAGTTATAGCACACTTAAATATATCAAGTTTTTGCTGTACTTTTTAAAATTAACAGATAAAGAGAGACACAAAATTTTTCAAAGTGTTTTCTCAGTTTGAAGAACAAAACAGCATCAGTTTGTAAACAACAAAGTGACAGAAAGATACTACAAATAGCAATAATACCACTAAGTTTTCTGAACTTGCAGATGTGAACTGTGAATGTTATATTAGCACAAACTTTGACAGACAGTAAGTAGATGGAATAATCATAGTGTTATTAAATCAGAAATAAAATATATCTGTATTAGGATCCATTTTATATAAAAATAAAAATCTGAAACAAACACAGTTTGTTATATTACTGTTTAAAAATTGCATTTCTGATAAAGTAATGGATAGCTCAGCCATTCCAAAAGATCTCTAGTGCTATTCACTAGTCACATTTCATTAAACTGCCATTAGCATGATTTATTACTTTACCTTGATTATTCATACTGAGAAGAATGGCTCAAAAATTGAAGCATGTTTTTTAACCCAATTACTAATTGTTCTACTAAACAATACTATCCAAGTTGCCATGTACCTTATGATAAGGATATTTCTAAAGTTATATTTTAGGACTTAAAAAAATGAAAATTTGCCATAATTTCAATAGTATTTGCCATTAAAATATCAGCACATTCATTGATCTATAAATTCTTGCAAACATGCCACCATCCTCCCACTAAGCCAGTGAAATATTAAAGTTTTGTGTTTTCAGTTTTCCTTCTTATTTTGAGACATTTTTGCAATTTTGTTTCAGCACTCACATTTAGTTTTAAGTAATTTAAAAGCCTGCTAACAACACTTATACTCATTAATTTTAGAGATAAAAGAAGGAGATCTTAAATCTTCATATAAATACATCAGTTTTCCAGAGGAATAGGTTTATTTTGCATATTCATAAATAAAAGCGTGCTCAGCCAAGGAATCTTCCAAAATACAGAAAAACCTCATGTTTAGATCCATGACATGGATCATCATGGACTCATATATTTCTCTCCAAAATATCTGAGTAATATAATAAAATTATGCCATTTTTATCTATTTCTTTGCCTTGATGAATTGAAAATAAATATAACATTATATTATTCTAATAATAAATATAAACCCATGTTTATTATTACTATTATTATCATTAATAATAATAGTAATAATAGTAATAATAATATATTACTTTGCTGTAAAATAAACATGTAGTTTTTCAAATCTTGCCAGTTTCTGCCAAAGGAAAATTTTCTTGTAAAACAAGGTATCTTTAATGGCATCTGAAGCTCACATAGTCATGACCAATATCAAGGAACACTTGAGTTGAGTCTAAACATGTCCTCCTAACAAGTCCTTTTTCTCCTTCATCTAAAAATTCTGGCCAGATACACTACTTTAGCTTAGAATATAGTATTTAGTAGCACAGAAACTACCCCAATTTCAACTTTTTTGAGCAAATCCAAGGACTGTTTTCTCTTTAACTCAGTGTCTTTTTCCAATCACTTCATTCTTGTTGAAATTAATTTTATTCAAGATTGCTTCATCCAAGTCATAGTCTAAAAGAGAAAATGAAAGGATCCCCCCACCTGTATCAGGTGAAAAAGGAGAAAATTAGGGCAGTTTAAACGCTGTTGTCTGGAGCTAATATAGACAAAATAGTTTCCCATTTATTTGTTTAAATAAAAGGCATTTAATTTGCTTTCATGTGGATTTCAATTTATATATTTATCACTTTCAGATGAATGGTATGGCTACAATCAGCAAGATCACTAGACATCAAAGCTCTTTAAGCAAGGTTTAGCAACTGCTTCCTTGACACATATATATCTCAGCTACTAAAATTAGCCTGTGCCATTGGATTATAAATAATATCTTGATCTGTGGTTCCCATTTGATTTAACTAAACAAATATTACATTCCTGTCTTACAGTGACATTGGCAAGATTTCAAGCCCTGGAAGCTGTTCAGGATGTACAGTGCATAGAAAAGACTGTACATTGATTTTCAGACAAAAGAAAAAATATCAATCAAGATGAAATGCAGTACTGGATAGGTTTTTTCAGCAAAAGGCTGAATTGAGAAAAATTTCTTCTTGCCCTTACTACATTTAGAACAAGGAACTTAAAGTGTTCAGGAAGACACTCAGGAACCCTCATCAGAGGGAAAAGTTAATGACATGATAGCATCCAATATGTTCTTTGAGTTAGTGTTAAAGTCAACAATTAGACAAAGTTATTCAGACATCAAATAGGCTGTTTTCAGGAGTTTTAAGTCATTTCAATATACATGAGACAGGCATTTCAGATCAGTCTGTAATATTCCTTAGAGACCAAGAAATCAATAAACAAGTCAATAATGAATTTGTAAGACAGTTTTATCATTAGAAAACCTTCTAAATAGCCAATAGTTTAATTCTTACAAGGAGTGGGAATTACCCTCATACATCCAGCACCTTACACTCTGTAATTTAGGTTTTAAAATAAAAAAGTAGACCTAATTACACAATTAGAAATAATGTTTTACCAACTTTGCACATAAATAGTTTGGGTGGGATTTTGCTTTCTTCCCTTCTATCCCCCTGCTGTTATTAAACCCAAGTAAAAATTTAAATTTTCCGTAATTTCAGATGCTCTAGAAAGGTCTTCAGTTACCATCTCGCATATACCAATATGCTGTGTGAATGCGCACAGAAAAGTGATAACTAGCATATTTTTGGCCTTGCACATAAGGCCCAAATCAATAACTGCAGTGCAAAACCTTTACTTAGAGCAAAGTTAGGATTTTCAAATATTTGCCTGAACAGAGGGAGATATAAGTTTGTTCTAATATTAACCAGGCAGTGCTACTGGTACATTCTCTGCCACACAACAAGTACATGGTCACCAGAACAAATCTGAAGAAAAATCAAACCAGAGTCACACAGAATCATAAATATTGTGAGAGTCTTTCAAGATCTAGTGCAGTCATCAGCCTTGCACCACCATAATCACCTCTACACTATATCCCTGAGTGAGAAACCTGGACTCTTCTTGAACACCTCCAGAGAAGGTGACTCCTCAACCTCCCTGGGCAACTTATTTCAATGATTAATCATCATTCTCAGTGATAAACATTTTTCTAATGTCTAATTTGAACATTCCCTGGTACAACTTAAGGCAGTTTCTCCACATTCCTTTGAATAAAAAATTACAGAAGTGACTGACTCCCACCTCACCACAACCTCATTTCAGGTAGTTTTAGAGAGCAATGGGGTCCCCCTTCAGCTTCCTCATTCCCTTTCTCTTTCCTTTCTTCTCTTGACCACTGAAATAGCTTCTATCTTTGTATAAGAATAGACCAACATTCAAGAATCTTTTAGAGGTGTTGCTTTGCCCACATCTCCTGCTTCAAGCTCTTATCTGAATCTTCAGTCCCTGATATCACATTCCTTTTAGCTGTATTGTCAGGGATAGCAACCAATGACAAAAATTGGATCAAAAGGCCTTATTTTCAGTTGTCCCTGATGTAAGCACTGATCTGATAGATTTAAAAAGAATGAATGGATAAAGGTAATAAAGCTTCAGAAATTAATCCAACTATCAGTAATAATAATCTAGTTTTCACAATGGACATTTTGTCAAATATAAAGGAGGTTTATTTTTTTCTGGAGAGTCTGATGAACATGGATTCTTAATAATCAAATACATTTTTTCCCCTTTTTTTCTTTTTTAAATTAAAAGAGGGAAGAGAGAAAGTGTATGTTTGCTCTCATACCCCTTATTCATCATCTCATTTCCCAATTCATCCTCAAGCAAGCACATTTGGTAGATTAAACTTCCACTAGAAAAAAAAAAAATTCCTCCTGCTTTTTTCTCTCTTCAGAAACCATCAAAACTAAAGCATATCCTGAAAAGTTTTAAAATAAAGCGGCTTCCCTTTACCTGCTCACAAAGGAACTCTTAATTAAAAGTTACAGAAGGACAGACTAAAAAGCAGTAACACAATATCAAAGAACGTGTGGACGAGAAGGCAACATTCACCCAGAGATGTTTAATATTTTAATTGGTTATCTGGAAGAAATAAGAAACTGCATGTTATGAGTCTGATTCTAACCTTATTAAATTCAGTGGCAAAAAGCCCAGTGAGTTCAGTGGGGCCAAGATGAAGCTCTAATTGAATTAGAAACTGACTTCAGATAAAATATGTTACCTTCTTCCCCTCATCTTCTCATTTTAGCAAAAAGAAATAAGAAAGGTTTATTGAAATTCGTCACAGAGGCAGTCAATTTAGTTTGTTTTGACCTGGATCAAAAGAAATAAGTATTCATGAGAAGAGTAGTTTTGACTATAAATTCATTTAAATAACAATACTGGACACTGAGCTTTCCAGTAGAATCTGACTGCTCTACTGAAGTGTTTAAAGCCTGTCCTGCACTAAAACCTCAGTTGTCAAAAACCTTGGAGACAGGGTAGGTATATTTAAACACAAAAAATATGGAGCTGTCCTCCAAAATATAAATGAAAATGCAAGATTAGTTAATAAGAAAAGACCACTACTGTGTTTATAATCCCCTCTGCCAGTCAGCATTTGCTGTTAGCTCAGATAAGGTGTAAGTACGCATAAGGAGGGGCTGACAAATGAAAGCTTCCCTTCCTTTTGCTGTTTGTAAGATGACTTATCAATTGTTACTAATAAAGCAGCAGCAATAATATACTAGGAAAATACCTGTTTCCCTTTTCCAACAGGAAAAGACCTGTTTCCCTTTTCCAACACCCCCTCAGGGTCTTTTTCATCCAACTGCTGCTGACTACTACCACCCCTCTGACCTTGGTCATCTGTGAGAGCGACTGCACTGGGAGGAGGGGTGGCTGCTGTGTAAGGCATATGTTGTAAAGCATCTCTTCTTCTGTAGGGATTTTCTTCTAGCCCTCAGAAGTTCCCAAATTCTACTGGAATAAGAGAACTGAAACAGGGAATGACAGACGCAACATCAGAGTCTGCCCTCAACTGGAAGGTTTCAGATATGGTTACGCGAAGCTATGAATTTAGCTCAATAAAACTAATTGCCTGCAAGCATAACACTGTAGTTGTTCGTGCATAGTTCTCTGTTAAATAACTCATGCAAGAATTATTCCTTTTCTTTTTGAAGACAAACATTCATTATGTTAATAAGGAAAGTGAAAGGAGTAAAGAGGAGTTCCCTTCCTTGGCCCCCTGGTTAGAGGCCATTTTCTTTCATGTGGCAGGCCAAGCTTGAAACGTCCCTGATCAGTTTCAGAGTTTCATGAAAATGAATGCAGATGAGCAATCACCTACTAATAAATTAGAAGAATGACAGACAGCCTTAACCTGCCTCTCATAGTTTTTTTGGTTAGTTTTTTTGTTTTGATGACAGTAAAATAAGCACTTTTACAGAAGCAGGACTTTATTTACAGTACTTTGGTTTCTGATAGGCTGCAGAGTCTAAGAAAACTTTTGAAGTTGTTCAGATGAGATTGTTTCCTTCCTGACTCTCCCTGTAGTGGCATAGACTTGAGGAAATGACAAGTACCCATTTTTCCTTTGGCTTCTGTTGTGCTTAAGACAGAAAAGGTTCAACCCTCCAAGATTTTAACCAAGATTCAGCTTTGAGACATTAAATGCATTTGACTAACATTCATGAAGGGGGACTTAAAGACAGAGAAACTAATAACAAAATACAAATAAAGTTAGAGTGGGGTTTCCCTAGCCATGAGCTGGTTGAACAGCTATTTCCTATGCATCGTGGCATTTTAGCTGCATCTTTTTTTCCCCCAGAATAAAGGACTACCAGCATTTTCAGAAAGTGAACTGATAAGTCTTTTTAATGTATGTTCATCATCATATAAATTGAAATAGGTTTTGTAATGCCAAGCATAAAATATTCTGGAAACAGATGAAAAGCTTCCTTCATATTTCTCTGTCCAACTTTGTGTAATATCAGTCCAAATACTTGCAGCATTAGCTTGGGCACATTTGCAGCTTTCAGCAAGCTGATGACTGCTTATTGCTGTCTGGGGACATACAAACTCCTGTGTTCGTAATAGAATGCCCATGTACCTGAGAGATATGCATACTAAGTGATGGAAAGCATGCCACATTAGAAAATTGATTGCATATGTCAGCATAAGCACCACCATTTTAACAAATTAGTCTGTATTAAACTCCACGATATGCATGGTTTGGAGCAGGGAGAGATCCATGACTTTTGTTCAAACTTGAGCTTACTGCAGATTTTTTAATCTAGAATGAATTTCCTGCTGAAACCAACAAAGTCAAAATGCTGTAATAGTCTCATTTCATGTTTATTGGATTTATGAATTTTATGAAACATCAATAATGATCTTGGGGAAGGCTTGCATAAGCATCATCCTTTCATGTTATGATTGAAAGCCTACATCAGCACAGAATTCTCCCCAAACAATACATTACCCAAGCAGTAGATGTAGAGATAAGCATAGCCATTATCCTAAAAGAAAAAAAATCTCATTTATGCATTTGTTCTCCCTTTCTCCTTCACAATGTTTCCTATTATTGTAGAAATCAGCATATGAAAAAGGACAAAAGAAAGCTCCTTAGAGGTGACTCTGTACTGCCTTTTCTCTAAAAGGTCCTTTTCTGGGGTTTTGTGGAAGGCATCCTTGAATGTGACATTATAAAACTTCATTGTGTTTTGCCCCATTTTTCAAACAATGCTCTATGATTGCAATATTGACTAGATGCCATAGGTATGCAATGTTTTTCTAGGCTCAACAGGCATTCCATATTTCAGTCCCTGTGATCTATATATGATCTACATAAGATTTATAAAATAAGTGAAGTATGTGAAATTGTTGAAACTGTCTTTCTAACACCTTTAAACTACTTTTATGGATGTAGAGAGTCCATAAATCTTAGAAGTAGATGAAGACAACTTAACTAAAGTGTTAACAGACAATCTCCATAAACTCATTAGAGGATTATAAAAAAATTATCCATGAAAATTATCCAAAAGGAAAAGAAATGGCTCCACCCCAGATTATGTTGTATATTAATTGTAGGCACAAGTATACAATTATTTATTTACTTACCACTGCTAGGGTTTTGCTTTTTTTTTTTCTCCTTTTAATCCTCCTTTGATTTTCACCTTCTCCTCAATAAGCTTTGAAATTGAACACAAGGACTGTTTTCACATAACCAAAATACAACCTGGTGAATTGAAATGTTAGGAGTTTTTTCCACCTAGCAGTAGAAGGCACCACATGGCTCTAGTACTGAGATGGTTCTTCTCATTGAGAAAATGGATTGATAATATTCTGATGAAATTTTTTTCTCCTTTCTTCTGACACAGCTGGTATTGAGCCCTGACAAAAGTCAGCTTCAAACTGGATAGCAGATCCTGAGAGGCTGGAGAGCTTTGAAATGTTAATAAATGTTAAGGGGTGAGGTAAGATATCAAAATTTAAATCTTCAGGACTTCATTCTCAAGTTAAATGTTATTTGAGCCATGGCATAAAATAAGAAACTTTTGATAGGTGTTTATCAGTGAACAGGTTTCAAGAATGCTAAATAAAATCCAGAGTGATAGAACATATTTTAAATTAAATAATTTAATGCTTAAAAATTAAAATATGCTCTAATTTCTAGTTTAATTTGATAAAATGTAAAGACAAAATGCAATACATCTATATAGTTAAATGGTAACTGAATCAAATTTTTCATCATCCACTAACTTCTGTTATTAGTATCATAGCTGGAGGTGGGTTTTGTAGTCCTAATAAAACTGCAAGTCTGTTACAAAGATCCTTCTGAACTATCAGCTCATTTACTGCCACCAGCAGCAGAGGCTTCTGATCCTCAGAGTCTGAATAACAAGATTTTGATTCAGGAACACTAAGTGAGAAGCTTCCTATTTACGTAATTGGCTATTATGCTCTTGGTATGTCACAGCTTTAAATTGAATACCTTAGAGTAAGGAAACCAAAGGGACTAAAATTTTGCAGTATATCAGGGTGTATTTACTAGGTTCAGAATCACACACCATACTTCTAAACACTTTCACTACCATGATCTACCACTGTTCCTTCTTAAATATTGCATTTTATACCTCCCATTTAAATGGATTGTTCATCACTATGCACGGATTGTATAGAAAGGAGCTTGTGGAAAATCTGTTTGATTAATTCTGAGACAGAAGAAGCACTCATTTTCTCAAAGCATTTAAAAAGTTTCTAAATGTTCCCTTACTTTTTACTCTATATACTCCAAACAGATGTGTGTTTAAAACTTAATGCTATATAAAGTTTATGTCCCTGTTGAGATTTCCATAAAAGTTTATGCCTGTTGAGATTTCTCTTTTGATCAAATCCAGTAGAATAATAAAATCGTATAAAACTAAAATTGTGCAGAACTGCTAGAGTGATTTTCAATTTTTATTTTTATGCATCTCCAATCTAATAATTTTCTCGCAGCACATTGTGATTCAGATAAACTCTAATGACGTTTGGTAGACCTTTTTATAAATCTGTATACTATATGCCAGCACAGGAATTTTTTTTTCTTTTTGAATCCCTGTAAGCTACTGAATTGCAAAAATGATACTAATCTGATAGACACATAAAGACTACAAAGCTTGCATCCCAAAAGGGAGGACTAAAACTAAAAATCCTAACTGAATCAAAGGGAAAAAAAATCACAGATCTGAAAATTGTAGCATATTTAATAAAAATCCTTTCTACCTTCTGCTAGGAGCTCTAAGTTTTCCATGTTAACATCACTCTCTTTTTCAATCATCAAAGAGATGGTGATGTTAACAAATGGAGATATCATGTTGACATTTAAAATATATAAGATTTAAATTCTTTCTAGTGAAATAATATTTGCTTAGGTTAGTGTAGTAGACTTTTTACCAAGATACTAAAAGCTAACAAGATACTTTATGCCACTAGAGTTATTCTCAAATGACAGCACAAGTCTCTGGGCCTGGATCTTGGCCATGAAACTTAGATAAGAGTTGAAGAAATTCTTCCTGCAGGCAGAGCTGTAATGTACTGTTTCATTACTAAAGTGGTGCCAGATATGCTCAGAATATCAAACAAAATCACCCCATGGGTGTTTTCTGCACCAAAACTAGTCAGTAGAATGTGGGAGTGAAAATGTTGGAAAGAAATTAAAAATGTCTTCCATTTGGCAAGGAAAACTCAAAATGCAGAGACTTGTCTCTGAAAAAAAGAAAGACAGTAAGTTTTTCTGACCAGCAAAATCAGTCGTGCTTAAAATAAAGGATATCAGCACCTTACAGATATTTAAATATAAAATTTGTAATTTTAAATTGGTATACAAGTATAAAATCACTCATATTGCTGAGCTGAATTTTATCTTATGATAATATGAAATTTATTTTTAAAAATGAAGGCTAGGACTTGGCTTGTATGGTACCCAAGGGTTCAACTGTAACTTTTGAAAATATTATTGTTGCTTTTATCATTGGGAAAATATGATCACTTTAGATTTCTAGTGTTCTTTTTCATTGTTTTACTTCTCTTTTCAAACTTACATGGATCACCTAAGTATAGAGCACTAGCTTTCCTTTAAATCACTGATATTTAAAATGAAGGGAAAGAGTAATGACTTCTGTTGAAAACTCCTCTAGCTCTAAGAAATGAGAATGAAGTTCTCCTTCCCCAGTATAAATCAAATTTTTGGCTTCACTAGAGATGGTGGAAGTCATTCACTTTCAACAAACTGATTTTTCCTAACTAAAACTTTCACTGAACTCAGAAAAAAAAAGCAGGATCTAAAAGGAGGATGTGACTAAAGCATGAATCAGGCACTGCAGTTTTACAAGTAAAATCTCAGAGGAAAGGTGTTTTCATTTAGTGATGCAATTGATCCAACTGAATGGTTCATTTAACCAGATACATTAATCCAGCATCTGTGCAAAAGGAAACACCTTTTTTTTTTCACAATAGCTGCAGCAGATACCACAGGTATTTTCACATCCAACTAAACTTGATATCAAGTAATTGCTTTCCTGTAAAGCCACCATTTTTTTAAGTAGCTAAGTCTGTTTATTATGTACCTTTCTGGAGGACTGACTAAAGAATTGAAAACTTATAAGACCTAAATAACTAGATATTGCTGCATGTAGCAGCACAAGACCACCCTCACAGGCCCAGGAAATCCTTGTCTGCCTACATTTATGCAAGAAGCTTTTAAGTCCTGCCAGAGGCCAGAATAGAATTGGTACTCACAGTTGTAGCATCCTTCTCCTTGGGATAGAGAAGGTTTGAACCACAGTTTTCCTTTATCTGAGAATGTAGAGATGAAATGATGCTGCACAGAGTTGGTCAGGCCCGATACTTTGGCAAAATCTAAGCCCTCTTGTTCTTTCCATTTTTCATCATGGGCTTCTTAATTTGTCTCTCTTCTCCCAGCAAGGACTCATTGCTTGAAGGGAACAGCAACTTCCCTTTTTCCCCACAGTGACCTTGTTTGGAGACTGGATCAGCACAATTCCTTTTCCTGGGAAAGAAAATGAATGGAAGCAGCAACTCCTGCTTCTTCTGGCAGCTGGTGTTCTTACCTTGCTGTTCTTACCTTATCTCTGCCACACCTTTGGCAGGTGTTTGCCAGGCTGTGCACTGTTTTAACAGGTGTGTGAAGGAGGCAGGGACATGAATTTATGTTGTGTGGAGATACATGCTAATATAAATACAACACAGAAGAAAACTTAAAAATTCTGGACATGGTTAGACAGTGGTGTTAACTGGAAGAAGAAAAATGGTGGATGGCTATCACAGGAGAGGCCATGCCAACACACGGGGATAGACAGCCCAGACAACACTGATGCACAGTCATTAAAATGCAGAGCCAGTATACCCTAATTAGCCCATTCTCCTGTCCATTCCAGTGCCCTTCATAGCTTTTCTTGTTTTGCATAAATTGAGGGTGATTAGGATATGCTGAGATCTCATGTTTTCGTTTTGCTGTTTATAGGCAAGGTATGAATAAGATGGCTCTAAAGAGACAGATGGGAAAAGAGGAGGTGGATTCAAGGGTAACACAAAGGCAGGGAGCTGGTAGAACTTCAGCATTTTCAGTGACTTTTGAGGTGACAGGAACAGAACTAAACTCAAACTAAACTCACTGTGGACAGAAATGAAAGGCAGCAAGTGACGGAGATGTAAAGTGATCATAAAAGAATCAAGAGAGATGATCCTAAGGTAATGATGAAGAGCAGTGGAGTTGTGAATGTAAGACTTCACATCAAGTGCTGAGCCACAAATGAGGAGATATTTTCAGATCAGATATAGATTTCTATGTTCAAAAGAGTTTTGAATGGTGCAGCTTTTTGTCCTTTATATAGGCCTGTATACTTCAGCTGTGCTCTCTCAGCTGAAATATCTTTGTGGCATCAGGGAGATTCACACATAAAGTAGAAGACACACTAAAACCCCAAATTTTGTTTGTAGGACAGTGTTCTGTGAAGTATTAATTCTGTCTTTCAGAGCTGAACATGAACAGAATGCTTTTATTTGGTGGTTAAAAGATTTATCTGTCCTAAAAATGTTTGCAAATTTGGGAATAGGTATGAGCAAAAGTCCTTTATATTCCTCTTCTAATTATACTACCTTTCTGTGTTTCTTTTCTTTGTCTGATTTTTTGAGGGGTGTGGGAGGGTGTGGGGGCTAACAATTTCTCTTTATTGAGAAACCTTCCCACTTTATCTTATTCCCTCTCACTGGCTACATTGTTGATAGGTTCAAGAGAGTATCTCCAGCTTAAAAATTGAGAAAAATTGAAGGATAAGGTGCTAACATTTATCAGGGTCTTTTTTTTTTTTTCCTAAGCTGTTTTTAGAATTGTGAAGATAGAAAAAGTTTAAATGAGGATGATTTACAATATGAACTTCCTGAGTTTTTTAAATGAGGCTGCAGAGTCCTTGACAACTTGCCAAGGCCATATTTCCTGGAGCAGATAAAAAAGGTTGGGTGCCTGTTCAACTATCATGCAAAAAGAAAAGTATACTCATAACACTACATCCATGGAGGGAAAAAAAAAACAGACCACAAAACTATAAACAATATTTCAATGCATTATGATAAAAAAACTTCATTTTTAAAAAGTATGTAAAAAGTAATTATACTGTCAACATAGCTGTAGCTGACACTCATTGCCCCAAAAACCAAAATCATCTAGTAAAAATAATCCTTAGTTTTAGTTTAAGGCAAATGTGGGGTAAAATACATGAAACGAGAACTAGCAGCTCAGCTTATCCACAGTAATTTACTGTGTTGTACAATATTAATACATACAGCTGAACTAAGTTAACCCAAACTTGCTCTCCATAAAATTTAAAACTTTTTTAAACTTCCTTCTAGTTTTAAACAAGTGGATTCATAAAAATAAAATATATGTATAGGAAAGGAAAACTTTACTTTCAGCAACAACCCCTTTTATTTTAGTATTTTTAGTTTCATAGATCACATTAAGATATCCTACTATTTTGTGATAAAAACCAAATATTATCTTTACTGTTTGCAGTATAGTGGACTAGGCTATTATTCACACTGACTATAAAAATAATCAAATTATTGGAAATTAAATATTTTAATTATAGTATTTTATCTGTGTTTGATTTCACTTTTGTTTATATTTTTCATAGATATAATTTTACCCCAATATACAATGAATTTTTTACTTGTAATGTTTTTTGTTTTAGGGTATACCTAGCTATTAGGCAGTATGTTTCTAAAGGAGTTTCCATGATCAAGCATTAACGTTCTCACTTTGCTTGACTTGTTCCATTTACACAGCATTTTATGTCTCTCCCTCCTTCTTCTGTGGCACAATTATATATTTTTAAAAGAAAGCAAGAATGCACATGAAATAAAATTATTAATATCCATGCCTTCTCCAGTTCATTTCTTTCAGTTAACACTTCACTGGAAAAATCTTAAAATTAATTTTATTATGTACTTGTCTAGGAGGGACTAGACAAACTGTGTTACAGTGGGATTTAGGCACTTAGATATAATTATACAGCAATTTTAAAAAACAAGTTCAGCATTTTTCTGTGTGAACAACATAATTCATTCAAAGCTAAATTAATATTTAGATTTTTCCTTATTTTTTACACTATGTCCAATACTAAATATCTGTAAATATTCATAAAAGTGTCTGCATGTATATGCATTTATTTTAGCAAACATTTAATTCTTCCTTTATTTTATAAGGGGTGCATGGGTGCATCCATTTTAAGTATGGATGTGGCAAATATCTTAACATATACTTTAAAAAAGGGATGATGAGCTAGAACTTGGAAAGGTTAAGGAAAAAAACAGTGATAAATTGCATGAACTGGTGAAGAGATACTGATCTGAAAATGAACTATTAGTGCATACTGCAAACCCATGTAACTGAGGGATGACTTAATGATTCTCAATGACTGCAGAAGAAAGAGGACTGTTTTCAGCTAATATGTGAAAACAAATTATTCAAGGTAAAAAAATAGATGTAAAATACATTGTAGATATAAAAGTAGTCAAATACCTGAAACCCTTCTCATGTCACTGTTGTTATATCACAGTTGTAGAAATCAGATTTTCTGTACTTTTAATTTTACAAATTATGTATTATATATTTAAATACCTCATATAGATCACCTTATTTTTTATGTCAGTCTTTTAGGTTTTCTTTTTTCCCACATACTTATAGTTTAGGAACATAGATGGAATTGCTTACACTTTTTCTAATAAATCTAGCAACATTTTTATGCAGGAAAACCTAACAACCATGAATGACACAAGATATTTCAGAAGGAGCTTAGATTTGCTTTGGAAGAGAACTTGAAAGATACATTTTAAATAGACAATGAAACCATTATTTTATGCATGGTTACTGAGTTCTTAGATGAGGAGGCTTTAAACTTTACATAATCGTGGGCCTTCAACCTATATTAATTCCTTAAAAACTTAACCTCTCAAATTTGATTTTAGTGTTGGTTATTAATACTTACAGCTTGAATTGCAAACATAATTTTATCTTGCATAAGGAAATGGTTTGTGTCTGTGTTTCTAAAGTTGGAACCCAACCATAAGATTTCTGTAACTGATAAAAATCTGTTACTCTACTGTATTGAAGCAAACTTCCTAATAATTGCCATGGAAATAAATTAGTTAAGAGTACAGAATGGAATACATAGATTATCACAAATCTTTTAACTGAAATTAGGTGATCAACCTATTATGAATTCATTTAAATCTTTAAAAATTAATGTATTCTTTTGAGTAATTGAGGGATGAGATACAGTTGATTCTCTGCTCTATCTGTGTTTCAAGTTCCTAGAAACTACATTTTCAGCTTAATCTCCTGAATTACACAGGATTGGTAAATTAGGTAAAAGAAAACATTGCATTAAACTCAAGGTACGAAATTATTATACATTATTTTATGTATTTTTTTATATAAAAGTTACAAGTAGCAAGCATATGACACAGAAATGGAACAGTAACAGCAATAACTGTGAATGCATGCTTTTTACAATGTATCTAATAAAGGGATTTTTGCCAACTCAAATATTCAGTAACATACATGCAGATTAATTTCTCAATGTCAAATTCAGTCATATTGCTAGATGCTTATCCAACAAACGTTTCTATTGAAGTGATTATGAATGGCTAAATACCTGATTTCAATAAATTGTTCCTGAAATTGGGAATTTTACTTGCAACAAAAAGAAGAGAGAAAAACAAAAAGATAAATGACAGATAAGCATAATAACCAAAGTCTTATTGCCTTCTAGTAATTTTACTCAACACTGCTGAATTTTTTCATAAGAGAATAGTTGGTCAGAGTCCATAAAACCTCTAGCTGGTGTTTCCAAGGACGATAGTTTCACATTTCATTGTAGCATGTTCAAAATCACCCAGGAGCGCACTATTCTCAAGCAGTCTATATAATGAAAACAATGTACATATAACAAAAGTTCAATGTAAATCTTCTTCCACATATCACAAAACACACAAGTAAATAACAGACATAGATCAACTTAAAGAAAACTATGACTTAAAATAAATAAATAAATAAATAAATAAATAAATAAATAAATGGACAATCTCAGGAACTAATTTCTTCCTCAAGTTTGCAGCAAATCTGGAAATATATTTAATAACTAAGGAGCACTTTGTGGCCAGAAACCAAATTATAAAAGACATGCATTTTTGTGCAATGGGAATATCTTGCTAAGGAGGTAAGATATGTCTATACTTCTTAGGTTTGCAGAAAGGCAATTGAATTAAATTGAAAATTGTCCACTCTCTTTTTCAGAGAGCTTAGGTAGTTCATTATTGATTTTTCCATTCAGAGTTTGCATGACTGCATGAATAGTTTTCTGAAATCAAAACTAAGTTAAAATATGCTCTCTCTGAGGAAAAAAAAAAAAAGGCAGACAAATATTTACTTAAACTATCTACAGGCAATAAAACCATTAATGGATTATTTCACTGTAAAATTGCTTTATATATATACACACATAAAATCTATATACACATATCTGTATATACACATTTATAAATGGACAGACTAACAACTATCTATAACTCCATTATAAACATCTGAGATTATATTCATTAAGTGATGATAAAAATTATGCAGAATGAAAAGTCTAGGAAAATACTCCAAAAGAAAACCTTAACCTTAGTGCTACAGAATCTTAAATTTATCAATCCTAACACACACTGTTCTTCCAACACTTCAAAGATTGGATGAAAAAAATGAAATGAAAACACATAGTTCCACACCTTACTGATTTAAATTAAAATGCCAAGTTTTGCATTCAACTTCACATGCTGGGGCTCTAACTTTTATTTCCATAAATAATAACTAATAAATAAATAAATGAAATGCAAGAGCCATGCAAAGCACATGACTTTATAAGACAGTTGGAATGAAGATCATTTTTGCTAGAGGCTGACTGTAATTCTGTCACGAATAAGGAATTAACAGATTTTGCTTAGTTTGCCATGCTAAAGTGATCATCTGGCTTTCAGTTTTTTTAACATTCAAACCTGTTTCCATACAAGATGACATACAATTTGAGTCCTAATATGCATTTTAGCAATGTAACAAATGAAATGGAAAGCAACAGATGATTCAATTGCTGTATAGATATGTTTACTTACCTCAGGTTTCTCTCTTAGACCCTAGTTGTGTTGTACTCAGACTCATGTTTGCTTAGAGACCCAATGAGGCAGAACCTGGAATGTTATGGCTATTTCATTCAAAATAATAGTGTTTGCATAGAAAAAAAGAAATATATGCATATAGATACTTTATAAACAGTACACTTTGATAATCTGATAGATATTCATGAAGTAATTTACATAGGCATGAAACTGGATTAAAATAACCAAATAACTGTATTTTTTTTAAGAGAAAGAAATGTTTTAATGGGCAAAGAAAATACGAAGGGCATGTAAAAAATAACAGGAAATGCATAAATAATGCATGCAACAGAAAACACAAATATATTAAAAAAGGATTATGTATTCGTTTTTTCCTAAATTTTTTTTGTTTTCTTTTTCTTTTACTTGTAAACTTTTAATCATTCATATTCACAGTGATTCAAAGTGCAATATACAGAAGAAATAGCTCTTTTATCAAAAATATTATGCTTGATTTTTCTTTTTTTATTGATTAGAAATATTTCCTTTAATTCATTTTTATGTGTAAATATGTATGTGTTTATTATTTGTCTTATGTTCTAGTCTGTCTATCCGTGTTTATTTGACAAACCAAAATACTGTGATCAATAACGGAACAGAAACAGTAAAGTTTTGGAAATACTGTCATTCATTATATAAAAGGCCATGAGGAAAGGGGTTTCCTTACCCCAGGACTGTGTTCCTCATTCTTGTGTCATGCATCAAAATGGATAAATGTATCTTTTATTTATTGATGAATTTATTTAGAGATGGTTAGACCAATACCAGATGATATTCAAGGCCACCTCAGTTACGAGGAAACCACATGTATGTGGCTGTTCCAAAAATCTAAATTCACACAATGTTCTTTGGTTTTTAAAAATTGTACCTGTTCTCTGTTGACCTGTGTGTGCATGCACGGGGGTATATGTAAAACAGTAAAAGAAAAGGAAAGAAATTAGAAAGGTAAAACGGAGATATAGGATCCTTCAGGAAAGAGGAGCAGAGATGAGAAAGAGAGATAATATAATGGCATGTGCTATCAGGAAACAGAAATTTAAACAATAAAGAAAGAAAGAAAGAAAATGTGTCTTTACTGATCAAAGAGTGAATATGTTAGGGCAATCAAGTCCTTACACAATAGTCTTCATCAAAAATCTATTGATACTGACCGCTGAACAGCTTTATCATGTCTGGACAGTCTGTGACTTGTGGTTGGCACCTCTTCAATTTCGTCTATCTCGCACGCATCAGCAGCATCTTGTGAGTAGCTATGCTTCATGACAAGGATATTTCTCCTGTTCATGGGCTGAACAAGTGGTTTTACAGGCTGGGGTTGTATTTCTGTCAAGACAGAAGCATCTCTTGTGCTGAGGTTACTACGGCTGCCCTTAATACTAGACACTTGTGATCCACAGTGATGGTCATGAATGCATTTTGAAGAGGATCTCCGCAGTTTATGATAATTTTCAAAGTCATCTGCAACATCAGCAAGGTCAGCTGTAGTCCCTGTCCCTCTAAGGGTGCATAACTCATAATGAGGAGGCTCAAACACCTCCTGGAACACTGTTTGATCAAAGTCTGCTTTCCTTTGAACAAATTTTTTACGAGGCTGCTTGATCTGTACTATAATAGAGATAACAATGAGGATGATCACAATGCAAGAAGTCACCCCAATTATAGTCCCACTGGTATTGGTAAGTTGGTCCAATAGGTTTGCTTTTCTTTTTTCTGCGTGACAGGAAATAAAAAAAAAAAAAGCACAGCATTAATTACAGTTCAAGAATAAAAACAACTATGAAGGGTTCACAGATTACTGCAAGGCTGAGTCTATTCTATTTCTGACTTCACTTAATCAATCTCATCAACGGAAAAGAAAAGGAGAAGAAATCAGGTATTTGTGAAAGCCAAAAAAGCAACGCGCAAATCCTTTGTGTGCCTATTCACTTGGAAACTAATTTATTCAGGGAATATTGCAGTTTAATTAAAAAAAATTATAAAAAACAACCACCATAACAAGCAGATGGCTTCAGTGTCACCTCTGAACTCCATTTGGCTGCTAAAGCCCCCAAGACTTACAGATGTTCTCTTTATTATTTTCTCTCTCTCTCAGTAAATATACACAGCTAGGACATTAGGTCCAATGAAAGAACAAGATTTTACAGGATTTAAGGTCTAATATTTGTGAGCTGAGTGGGAATTTTGGCAGCGTTCAATGAAAAAGCTAAATCAAGATAGAATAGAAAAGTTTTTAAAATTTATATTTCAGAAAGAAAAAGAAACCAAATTGTGCAAGTTATTTCTGCTTTTTTCCCCCCTATTAATTACCAAAACCTTTCTAAACAGCCATAAAAATCCAAAATCTGATCATACCTACTACCCTTTACTCAGGAGCCTCTAATAAGTTAGTCAGCAAATTCTGCATTGTGAAAAAAGCAGAAAAAATGCAGTAAAATAATAAAATAAAACCATTTCCCCCCTCCTCTGGTGCATCTTTCTCTGTGATTGGCTTTCACAAGGCTGCAGGCACAATATGGTGATTGAGCCTTGTAGAAATTCAAATTGAAAGTGTTTGCATCAGTCTCTCTCAGGCATAGCAAGACAACTGTGGTTAAGTTTCAACATCCAGTTTAGTGTAATTTTTCCTGGCAACCTAAAACATATAAAAGGAATTAAGAAAAAGCTTTTGGAATTGAAGTTTTGGCACCAAAACAGTAACATTCTTCTCTTCAAAATCTCCTAGTTACCAAAACTTAACTCTTCAGTAGATCATTGTCTAAGCTTGTAGATTCACTCAGTGCTTCTCTAATTGACTGACACAGATTCTGGAGAAAAAGCAGAGTTAAGAAAAGCAACACTGCAGCAAACAACATTTCTGCTGGAATCAGCAATCTTCCTTTTTCTAGCCAGAAAAACAAGAGAGGATAAATGCACAAGACCTGATAAAAGATACTTGACGAAGGAAAGACGAAAATCTTTCGGGAAATTGGAGAGTGATGAAGGTTTTCTGTTTTCCTCTATTGTGAAGAACTAGAGAATGAATAATCATTTCCCAATTGTCTGTTTAGTTTCTTTGAAGAATATTATGCTCTGCCATAGTTTAGCTGTGTTCTTTTGAAGTATATGTTTTCATTTGTGTTTTACCCTATTGCACTGCTTGTCAGGATTTTACAGGCTTCAGTAGATTTATGGGCTGACTGCTAATCCACTTCATTCTGAATTTTTTTCTTGATTGGTTCCTAAATTTGGCATATCCCATGCTTTCAGGAACAAATCTGCAGTAGGGGGGAAACAGGGGGATACAAGACAGAAGTGAACTGTCTCCCTAGCCTGCAATGTAAGTTTGTTAAGCTCTTTTCCCTGAAGACAACACAGATGCTGTTTTAGGGCTTGTTTGTTTGGTTTTTGTTAAAGAACCACAGAAATAATTAGAAACCATTGTCAGTACATGGGTAGGAACATCACTCTCTGTCTATGAAATAAATATTACATCTGATTTCCAGATGTAATATTTACAAGCTTGTTATTTGCATTTCAATTTCACTTGATTATAGGTAGATTTCATTGCTTTCTTACAGTGTTATTCCACCTTCCTTTATAAGACTACCTGGGCTATTATGTACATAGCATGCAGCTAAAAGACACCTGCTACTCATATGTCACTCCACTACAGAGGTAACTATGGCAAAGAAACCAAAATATTACACTTAATTATACTTTATATTGTATGGAAAGCAGAGACCAAGTGATCAGAAGTGCATAAACAGACAGCAGGACACAAGCACTGCAATACCAGAGAAAAAAATGAAAACACTGAAAGTAAAATCCGCTGGCATTTTTTTACTTTCCTTCATTTTCTCTATTGCTTAATTTATGCTTTCCCCAAATTACTCTTCCTGATCTTTCAAACATTTGGCACATATTTAGCAAGAAACTGAAGATTATATGCTGTATCTCATGCAGTGCAAATGACAACTTTTTCAATTCTATGTGTTACCTTTGCAGTGGTTTTCATCCCAGGGATACACACAGTTCTGGAGTCCATTGCAGACCAGTGTATTATTTATACACATATTACTGTGGCAAAAAAATGTGTTGGCTTCACAAGGGGCTAAAAATGAGAGAAATTATAAATGATATTAAATTAGAAAATCATCCAACTCTCCTCTACAAACACATCTAGGAGTGGACATGTATTCTGTAATAGAACAAAACTATACAACATGTACTCCTTGTGCATATTAAGTATTTGACATGCAACATGGAGAGCAGTTGAGTCACAAACTCTTTATTATTCTGTGACAAGAGGTTCTCAGTTTTGTCTAAAATGACTGAACCTTTCCCTAGTATGACTCTCCTGGATATAGCAGGTTGGATTCCAAACATTGTTGGGAAGTCACCAATGTGTTATCAACAGTTTAACCACAGAACCAAAACACATCACCCTATGTGCTGCTATGAAAAGAGTTAACTGTATCCCAGGCTGATCCAATGAGTGACAGATAACATCTTATAAATTTTTTGCTGAAACCTCAATTTTGTAAGAAAACTGTGTGACTCAAAGAAGATATGTACTTGACGGTGCATATCAATGGTATCTGACCATTTATACACAAAGTGAAACTATTCTAAAAACCTTTTAGTCATAAAAAGGCTACAGTTAAGAAGCACCCTTTTGATCACAAGTATGAAGATGAAGAAGCACAACAGTCTTCAGTGTCCCTGAAGCCCATAGCCAAGAAGAATCATGCAGATTAAAGCTGCAGGAAAATGGTTTTACTGATGGCCATGTATTATTACTGTGAAGAAACCACCTGGAAGCCTTTGGAAGGTACTGAAGATGCTGCTAAACTGTGGTGTTTATGGAAGTATTGAGAGATCATTTGGTGCCAGGATTGTGAACTTATTGCTCCAAAAGTGCATAATATAGTACAGAGAAATTACTCCTCATATCTCTTCTTTAAACAAGAAAGACTTGTGTAACTTAGAAGAGCCACAAACTTTGTAAGTGTTAAATTGTGAAAAATGAACTCCTTATGTATTTTTTTTAGTCCAAGCAACCCAAAAGTGTTATTATAATTATTTTTAAGGGAGAGCTAAATAATAAGCTAAGACCCCTAACTAATTAGAAAGCAGTACTGGTGTTCATATTACTGATACTTCAAGTTTGATACTTCATGGAAATTGTTCTCCTCTGCAACTTTAGAAGCAGTTCCTATGACAACATAAATGCATAGCAGAGAGAATGGTTTAATGGCTTGCAAATGAAGGACAATACAAAGGATTTGTATGACTCAATAGATCATGTCAATAAATCTACTTACCAATAAGGGTTTAAGTTAAGATATCCATAATTGGCTTATTTGGAGCAGTTATGTTGTGTTACGGAAATGCCATCAAAATCAAAAAGCACACCCTAAATATGTAACCACTCATTCAGATATAACACTGTACATATACTGTATCTCTTAGCCAGAAGACATCAACCAGCCTGTCCACTGTTCAGTTTTTGTTTTTAAATCTGGTATACCATCTCCTGAGGTTCAGGGAGCCTAGTGACATTTTAAGTGTGTTACAGAAAGGATTCTCCTTCATGCTGGGCAGATCAGAAGAGCACATGTGCGTATTAGAAAGGGAGGATATTTAGGGACAGTCCTTATCTATCTGTTGCTGTCATTTGGGGACAATGAAGGCTGAGCCTGGAGGATGCTGTACCACATCATGATGTGACACATCACGTAGATAACACATCAGAGGCATAATCATCTTTTCACACTGTAGCTGCAATCCCTGTTTCCAGGCAAGGTGAAGATCTTTTGGGATGTTCCCACATGTAGAAACAGCCTCACTGCCTACTCTGAGCCAAAAGAAGTGAGAAACCTAAGAAGATCTAAAGAGGCACCCATTCAAAATACAAAGTGTACCAAAAAAAGGCCCAAATATCAAACAAAAAAAAACTTCAAAGAGTGACAGAGGAACAATGGAGAAATATGAAATACAAAAGCAGACAAACAAATACTTGCAGGATTATGAGAGGTTATATGATTAAAGCCACAAAGAAAAAAAACAAAGAAAACAAAAACAACAAAAAAACTCCGACCAAAACATTCAGAGTGGCACGAAGGATCTTAGAAGCAAAGTCAGAAGGACAGAGTGCTGATTGAATTCAAAAGTATGGTGATGATAAGCAGAAAAGGGGAACTAAAGGAAGGTAAAAGGAAGTGAAAATAAGACAAAGAAAGAGAGGCGTCTACAGGAAAAAACAATGCAAATTGGTTATTTTATTCTGCACTAAAAGAAATAGTGAGATTTTCTATCAAATGAAAAATATTAGGAAATGTTTCATAATGAGAGAAAAATAAAGAACAATAAAAAAGGCCTTTTTTCATATTTAAGAAGAATGAATAATTGTGCAAAAAGGTGACAGGGACATCTGAAAATGAAAAGCAAGAGAAAGGAGGAAAAAAATGGTATTTGAATAAGTGTCAAAACAGGATGAATAATGAAGCAAAGCAATTTCAGATCCAGTACAGCAAACTTAGTATGAGAGAAACCCAAATGTAAGATTCAGAAAACTAATGACAAACAACCCTCTCTTGTTCATGTTTGTAAAATTAAAATAGCCAGGTTCTCTCTGTGGTCCCATGAATGCAGAGTGATTAAACTGGACAAGAAGTCAATATGTTTTCTCTACTCTAATTAAGGTTGGTTTTTTTTGAATGAATGAAAGCATAAAGAGAAGCTGAAGATTTGTCAGTCCTGTTGTACATTGGAAAAAATTGCTTTCTTGCCCAAAAAAATGCACAGAAAAAGAGTCTTGGGACGCTACATCAAGGACATTCTAGTAACAAAAAAATAGATAAATGAACTGATGGTAAACAAGATTCTTTCACAGCAAGATGGATCTGGTCCTGATGCAGTATTAAAGCTGTTACAGAACCCAAGATGACAGTGGAATCAAGCAGTATGTGACAGCAAGCTTGTAGATGTTTTCACAAAAGGAAACTACTGCTATCTTCAACTTAAATTAGACAAGACAGCACAAACCTCTCCACACACCAGAAGCCGTCCTATATCACTCCATGGGATTTCCTATCACTGTATAAATGCCCTTTATATGAGAGAACAGCAGCAATGCAGAGAGCTTACCCAGGTGAGGAGCCGAGCAACTTTTTGGTCATGATTAGTGGAAAGCCCAGTGAAAAGCTACCAATATTGTACTTTGTGTCTGGACTACTTGATGTCCTCATCAAGTAGTCAGGCAGTCAATTAAATTTTCTTCAGGCAGCTGGAAGTAGCCTCATGATGACAGGCCCTGGTCCTTATGGGGATTTGAACCACGTGATATCTGCAGAAGGCAACACAGCAGGGTGCAAGCCAGGAAGTTTCCAGAGTGCATTGATAACTTCCTGACACAGCTAATCACAGAGTTGATGAAAGTAGCTATGCTGTTCCTCATACTTTTATGAACAAGAATCAGTTGGGAAGGTGTATGTCAGGAGCACGAGATGATGGAGTTTGAGATGCTTCAAAGAAGGAACAAACCAAAAAGCACAATTATAATTCTGGGCCTCAGAAGAGCAAAAGGTCACTATTGAGGGGTATGGATGGACAAATACCATGGGAGGTGGTCCTGGAAAGATACAAGTTCCAGGAGAGCTGGTTGATCCTGTAAGATCACCTCCTCCAAGCTCAGCAGATGAATATCTGGACTAGCCAAAAATCAAGTGAAGGTAGCATTTATCCTGCATGGATGGTCAATGAGCTCCTGACTAAGCTCAAAGTTAGAAAGGATACATATATGTGGTGGTGGTAGGGCAGCATGATCCCAGCAGAAATATGACTTCTCTGAGTGGAAGGGGCTGAGGTTAGGGAAGGACAGACATGAACTCCTGGATTCCATTGTGATGCCTCCAGTAGGTGACTCACATCATTGTGAAGCCACTCTTGACTATCTCTGAAAAGTCCTGCTGATTGAGGCTTCAGTGGGCTGGGCAAATAGGATCTTCAAGTAGATCAACAAAAGGAAATGTAAAGTCCTGTGTATTGTGAGGAATAATTTAATGCACCAGTACGTGCTGGGGACTGACCGACTAGAAAGCAAGCCTGCAGAAAATGTTCTGGAATCAATAAGGTCACCTTGAAAATCACCTTGAGTCTGCAATGTGCCCTTGTGGCCAAGAAGGCCACCACTGTCCTGGGCTGCATTAAAAACAGAATTGTCAGCAGGCTGAGAGGTTTGATGCTTCCCCTCTATTTACCTGGAGAGACCACATCTGCAGTGTTGTGTCAGGTTCTGGGCTCCTCTGCTCACAAGGGACACAGATGTCTGCAGTGAGCCCAGCAAGAGTCCATGAAGGCCTTTAAAGGCTTGAGATATTGGGGGTGAGAGGAGAGGCTGAGAAAGCTGGGACTGTTTTGAGCAGGCTTTGTCAACGCATCCAAACACCCTCTGGGCAGGAGTGAAGAACACAAAGCCAGGTTTTTCTCAGCAATGCCCAGTGACAGGAAGCAATGAGCACTAAATGCAATACAGAAAATTCCCTTGGAATGCAAGAACTAACTTTTACTTTGAGGCTGGTCAAACACTGTGCCAGAGATGGTTTACTAAGTGAGGTTGTGGTGTTTCCATCACTGAAGATACTCAAAATCCAACTGGCCACAGCCCTGAGCCACCTGCTGTAGCTGACCCTGCTTAGAGCAAAAGGATTGAACCAGACCATATCCTGGAGTCCCTTCCATCCCTTCCATGGCTCAAAATCTGATTTCATAATTAGATTAAAAGTAACAGCTGGGAACACACAATTGTGTTATTTCTCCTGTGACTCAAAGCTGCCTTAAATCAAGCTCTACCAAGGTACTGGCCTAGAAGTAAGTGAGACAGCATATTCAGCACGATGAACAATTCATAATAATTATAACACAGCTGAGAAAATCAGAACTACATCAATAATTTGACCTGATGTATTTTAATAAGATCTCTAATCAATTCTTTGCTTTTTACAGCACAAAAATACTGTATTCTAAATTAAATCATTAATTAAAGAAAAATTTTATGAGAGGTTATTTTTCTAGTTTGTAATTGAACCAATAATTATTTTTATAGAATAT